AGCAAGGCCCTTGACTGTTATAGTGATAAGACAATTCTTCGAAAGCTAACACAACTTGATTAAACAAGGAGATGGGCGTAAACAATCTGACAACCGATTCCAGAATTCCACCTACTGGTCCAGCTACATCCGTTCTTAGAAAGAAAATTTTGTGTCTAAGAACTTGACTGATATAACTTGCACAAAAGCTCGAAACCTGGTTGGCCTATCCAACACACACGCGCGGGCTGTACATGTCTGAAGGAACTCGCTGTGGCTAGAAGTCACAAACGTCTACGGGGAGTGGTTGTAGCCGTTAGCCTGTGACTTCTACAGGTTCACGTGTTATTTATAGCCGTAGCCGCAACTTCCAGACATAGCCTGGTTGATATCAAGATCGCTGTAAGATCGCACTCGCGGCTCCGTCTTATTCTAGCCGCATAGCGCCCTTACAACTTGCCCAAAGCGTGTTTCAAGACTAGTGGACAAATGCGCGCGCAACAGAGACGTGCGCGTACTACCACCTATTTAAAGAAATAAGATCTTGATTGAATAAAGTTTCGATTAAGTAAAAACTCCCGTTATCTGTACACTGTACAGCGTAAAGTCACGATTCATTCACACATTAAATACTGCCTAGCATTAAATGAGAAAAAAAAAAAAACAGGAGAAAAGTGGAAAGGCCTATCATCGTCGCCGTGACTTGTGATCGGGTAAGTTTTGATAAGATAATATAGGTACGATAATGAATTGAAAAAAGGAAAAACAGCAGAGGGATGTAACAAAGAAAAGGGGAAGGGGAAGTAAAGAACTGAACCTCGACGTTTACACCCTTCGTCTCAAAACTGACCAATCTGATATTCAAAATTGGATGAAGTGGAAATGTGTCGATTTCTTCAACACAGAGTGAACTTTGTCAATACGGAATTTCGAATACAGTCACAATTTCCAAGCTTCACGCTCGTAAAGATTTACGGCTCTGTGTTGATTTCTTGCGTTGTTTCAGCAAAGTTCTGAAGGTCGGAAGATAGTACAATGCCTCAATGAGTAACACAGCCCCTTTATTAAATTGTCTATATATAGTGAGTCGATTCGGCCTCGCACTTTTCACCAGCATCAAAAACACTTCAGTCCCTTTACCTCCAAATTAAAACTTGTCAAACCGCGGGAAACCTTCATTTTTATGATGATTTTGAGGAAGAGGAAAATAAGACAGACCTCAAGAGCATCCAGGAGGGTATTCTGAGCGGCGCTGCTTGAATGTCTTAGCCGGGGGGCACAGAGCGTTTAGCTCCGCCTACCATTCGATCGCAACCAAATTTTGGCGCAAATTTTGTCACGCGAGTAGGTCATTACTACTTGATAGTTCACACTATTCCATTTTTCCTTCTCGAAAGCCAGTTCTCCATTTTCCTGTTCTTGCGTAGTTTTACAAGGCGGTGTTGAGCATAAGCAAATCCAAATGGATTTTCTTGCCGATAGAAGTCCGTATTTTAAACGGCCATTACAAAATCACGGTCAAAATATCTGCACAGCAAGTTTTTAAAACACACGCACATTTGTCTTGTGTCTTTCTTCTTTATGTTAATTTTTTTAACATACTCCACTATGAACGCAAAAACTGCATGGATCTGTACGAACAGCTTAAACACGGCCAAATGCCAAGCACCGAGGCATTCATGATAACTATATACAATGATCGACAGTAGCCTAATGGGTGTGTCTACAATGCTGCAATACCGCCCTCATTTGACCATCCATTTCACGTTGTATTCTGTTGTTTTCCTATGCTTATCAAAAACATAATTTTGTGTTTAAAGCAGTGTTAATGAGTACGTTGTCACCCAATCCTCTTTTCTTAATCAGGGTCTATTTCTATTGAAACACAATTCTAAGAAAGACCATTTTAATCGATGCAATTTAATTCTAACGATGTCTTCTTTTCCTTATTCTCGAGGTACGGAAAAATAAAGAGGTGGAGTTAGAAAAAGGAAAAAATTGAAAAACAAAGAAAATTCTACTAATTTCATAATGATGCCATTTTTCTTCACACTAAATCCGAGCTCGGTGGGTCTTAGCACAGACGGCCCAGGTTTGGTGCTGGCTGGGTTCGATGTTTACCGTCTTCTCAAACTGAGAAATACGGGGCAGGGTTTTTAAAAAGATTACCAAAAAGGGCAGCTTGGGGGTGAGGCGCAGGCTGGCCAGCGGTCGATTGGGCAAAGTTAATGGAATTGGCCAGGCGAACTAATATTGAGCCGCAATAACCTTGAGCTGACGGGAGGGCCTGCAGGTATCAAAAAACGATAGAAGTTGAAGGTCGGTAGTAGGTATGAAATATTCAAGATAGAAGGAAAATAATGTATGGGGAAATTGAATAATAATACGAAGATCGGTTCGTATTGGAAAACTTTGCAGGACTATTGGACTAAGTATGTAAATTTGCCCCTGAACGAAGAATAAACAAAAGAGCTGAAAATAATTCTTCACAAGAGAGGGCTGTCGTTATGACTTTGTAGAAATACTTGTCTTTACAGAATGTGCATTGTGTTCCACGCTGAAATGTTCTGCGCTTACCTACCGATTGGTCAGCCAAACAAAGTCAGTATAAAACTATCGAACGTTTTAAATCTGACCTCGAACCTCAAAATTTACGACAGTAATTGGTGGCACATGCGCAATCAATTTGTGCAAGGATTTGGTCCATCCCAGGTAAAGAAATGTAACAGTACGTACTGACGGGTTTTGAGACTGGCATTGAGTTGTATCATTTAGCAAAAATCCAAGTGACAAAATGTGAATTACACGAAAAGGTTTAAAACCAACTTTGCCATTTTCTGTAATTTTTCTGCAACTGAAACAGAGACCTGATCCAGCGGCCGTTTCAAAACGATCAGTGTAATGTTACAGCTGTCCTGAAGTTTGCGGACGTGTGCTTAATAACAGGAGCGCGTCTGTATTGATCAAGTTGGCAAGTTCGCTGGGTTGTGGTACTTTGAACTTCACCGCCTCATGGCAGCATCGCGACCAAACCGTCCAGTCGACCCGGCACACTCTGGCCATCTTGACGCAACAGACACGCCAAACGCTGCTTTCTTTTCAGAGCTTTCGGTGATGCGTGAGCCGCTCCGATTTTTGCAGTGAAAAGTTGCGTAACGAAATGTCTTTCAGAGGTTCCATCGGCGCGTGAGTTTCGCGTTCTTATATTTTTCAGGGTGTTAAAATTCCAGAATTGAGATTTCCGTCACGTTTTCCCTAAGTGACGCGTGAAAGGGCGGTCTGTACCATGTCGGCATGTCAAAGACCTACAGGTTACATTTTTCTCAAACCATGTTTATGATGTCTGCACGTAGACCGTTTAATTCAGAGTTTATTTCGTTGTTAAATTTCAACAAAAGAGATTTTATGTCAAAACTCCAACAAACTTCTGGAACAATTAATATAATGACTGTCTATGTGGAAGATGCTTGGCCGCGATTGCTTAGGTGAAAACAGTTTTCAAAAAAACATAGGGCCGATTTCTAACAGTGATATCTCGATAGGCGTGCAGATACACGAAACACATCCACTGGATGACGTCTTTGACACCGTTTCTTGTGAGTTCAGGTGCAGAGGTGGTGCACTATTGTCTAGGTGTGCGTCAAGGCGTCATATCTACAACTTAATAGGAACAGGCAGGTGCAAAGCTCGCTTACAATCCGGCCAATCATACACATCTTTTGATTTACAATAATTATAATACCATCCCACATCATCTTCTCATGCCAGAACAGCAGCTTTGTTTGGCCAATTCTAGTTACATGTATTGTGTGGATTTGGTAAGAGGCACAAAGTAGGCCTATCCATCGAGATATCTGCGCTGATTAAGGTTTGTTATTTTGGTCACTCATTTCCATCGAGTTATTTTAGAAACAGATTGCATCTTCGACCAAACATCAATACTAACTGCAGAAACGCAACGAGTTGGCGCAATAATAGGGTCCATGTAACGACTGCTTACAGTGGTTGTATGCTTCTCTCTGCGTGCTTCTCTCTGCGTGTATTCAAAGTAAGCACATTTTGTTCGGCGCTCGCAGAAAGAAAATTATTAAAATAAAACCTTAACGCAATCCCGTAATTTCGACTATTCATCCCCCCCTCAAAGAAAAACAACCACCGCGTGTTGCTACAACACCAGGTCGAAGCGAAGCTGGCACGTCCCTAGCCAACCTGGAGCCGGCTTTCCGCCGGCGTTACAAGCGGACAGGGGAAAAATAAACACGGCGGGTCTTTGTTCTCCGAGGACCGGGCCAGCCCTTGACCTCGGTCCACTGTACTATTGGGGAGAACAGCGAAGAAGGGAGAAGTACACATTGTTCTTCTCCAGAGTCGACGAGGAGGTGGCTCCTTTGCGTGTTTTTCCCCCACTTTCTTCCCTTTGAGGAGGGTACTACGCAGTTGGTTAAAAAAAAGTAGCTGGGTACTTTTGCCTGTGTTGCTGAGTTTTGTTCGTGCTAGGATGTTTGTTTTGTAGGGACCAGCATTATTCCACGAGTTGTTGGCGGTCGGTATCGGTGTTTTTATAAGGAATATTTTATATTGTCGTCGATGCAATACCGGTTTGGCCTTGGATGGAGATTGTCTGGGCGCTGCGGTCTTTTGTTGCGTTTCAAAACTGCAGCATTGATCAATAGCAGTTTCAAATGTAATCGTTTTTTTTGGGGGGGGGTGAAAACTGGATTAGAAAAGAGCAAATTATGAGATTGTCGTTTTTAAACTGTCTTCATGGGCGAACACTTGGGCCGGGTTGACATGCAATGAAATACAAACCACTGAACTTTATTGAAGGACGGACGAGGAAAAAGAACATTCAAGAAGTAAACAAATGTTCCTGTTTCACAAACAAGGCACGATGTGGACCCCAATAAATGTCCTGTGTTGGCGGACTTTGGCTGGTACGTCACCACTGCCCTAGCCTTAACAAGCTTCTTCCATGGCGAGTTCTTCCCGCCCTTTTTGCTATCAACGGGTGCAATACTCACGCTTGGTATATTTTCCTGCGTGCAGACCTTCTCGGCTAACAGTCGGTCCCGAATCTCCCACGCAAAGATGGACGGACATTCCCTCTTGTAGTGGGCGACCCGGCTGACCACCAGCGGGGTAGCCACTCGCGGCTTGCTTCCCCCGATAGCACGGGGCCGAATGGATCCCGTCTCATAGTAACGGCCAAGGATCTTGGACACGCAGCCGTTCGAGACTTGGAGGATACGGGAAATATCACAGGGTCGGGCGCCGCTGTGGGCCAGCTCCACTATCTTCTGCCGCGTGGAATCCGGTAAAGGGCGACCGTTGACAAACATACCACCTAGCTGATTGATCCCACTGTGACCTGGATGAACATAAGATGAAAATGAGAAACTTTAGTGGACTTGGCACATATCTTAATGTTCCTAAATTCGTGCAGTTTGAAAACACTGTCATATAAACCGAACAGCCGATCAAGACCGCAAACTTTCATGGCAGTCATTATTTTCCGATGTTGCACAAACCGTCCCTAGATGAGCACAAACATCTACAGAAGATTAAGTTTAATATAACATTACCCTTGAATTCATTCCATATTTCTATCGCAATGGAATTATCCACATGGACTTTTGAATTGCACCAACCGTGGCAGTATACTAACGCGTAATGTTGCCGTACGCTACCGGTAACACTTCGCGTGATCGGGATTGGTAGATACACAAACCGGATCTCCGCACACATTGCAAAGCTGTTCTGTTGCAATTTTCTGGAGATGAAATCCTACTATGAATGTATCCTACTATAAATTTATATGATTTTTCTCATCTTCACCTTTAATAAAACATAAATCCAGTCTGTTTGTTTGTTTGTTTGTTTGCACTTCAATGTCTTCAAGAACCCGAATTCCAATAAGGAAACATTCCGAATTCGAAATTGCAATCTTATTAATGTTCCAAAATAGCGTGGAAAATGCAATGGGTATTTTCATGACAATTCTTTTCCTGTCAGTAAAGGTGTTGAGCTTGATCATTCTAAATGAAGGGTGCCAACAGCCAGACAATTTCTGATTTTCAGGAGGTAACTGGACAGCCGTAAATATGGGTTTCATTTCAAAAGTAGACACGTGACCAAATCGCGCAAAGTAACCCAGAAAATCACAAATACCAATGCTCCGTAGCAACAGATCATTCATAAAAGGATCAATATTCTATTGCTTTCAGTGGAAAAATACTGTAGCTTCTTTTATTTCTAGACAATACGATTCGTGTTTTCTATCAAATGCAAAGATATGACGTAATTGCAATTCGCTTCAATTGTTTTACCACTAATATTTTTTCCATTTATCTTTCCATTCTTGGCAAACAAGTGCGCATTATTCTACAAACCATAACATTTTGGAAATGTGGGAGGTACATGCATGTTGAGTGTTTTCAAACTTGACAATAGCCTAACCGTTTTAAAAAAAGATTGCAAGATTTTTCCACCGCTTTTTAAGTCAACAAGACTTTACAAAATCGTCTTGCGAGTGGACTGTTCGATTTGTCAGCAGAAATGGAACGGAAGATGTTCCAATCGCATCATACCATGGTGCCAATAGCATGGCTATATGGCTTTGGAGTTTTTATATGTTTCACTAAGAATCATGGGCAACAGTTATTTGACCCAGAAGTCAGGGTGTCAGAGGTCTAAGTCTTTGCCTTTGCGGACTGGCTCCCACCAGGACAGACGAGTCATGGATAAAGCGACCGGAAGGAATGGACCCGGGGAGGCGCTTTCCGTCATATCGGAGGGAAAACGAACACCAATCAGGTCCAATTGAGAGAATCCTTTCTACCATTTCTGTCTCTGGAGATCGACGTCTTAAGACAAAAAAAGCATCTAACATCGATCGATAGCCATTGATTTCCCTTGACCGAAGGAAACCGTTTCTCTGTAGATGCACTCAATGCTTCGTTATAGTAAGAGTCTGTAGATCCGTGCGGCTCCATACATGCTCTTTTCTTTCGTTCAAATTCAATATCTTCTATTTGTGTCTCGGTTCCAACTGCAGGAAAGCAAAGGCAATAGACTGACCGATGGTCATTTGGCAATAGTAACTATCGGGATCGCCCGTGTGACCACCTTGAACATTTGCAAAATGGCTATGAAAGCAACAGTTACACAAAGGACGACAGATATGGTGACAAGGAGGCGGACACAGAGGACATGACAGGTTGGTAATGTTATGAAAAGGAAATAAAATGCTATGAAAATGTATCCTGGAATTATAAAATGAAAAATATTATTAGTGAAAACAACATGAGATGTTGAAGTTTGGAAAATCGAAAGCGTTGTTGCAGCAACAGCAGCCCCAAACTCATAACCCACTAAGAGAAGAATACCGCATGATCTTGTGTCATTCTGAAGTATGAAAAGGCGAAGAGCGAGTCATTCCTGCTCAATAATTAGTTGATAGTTTTTTCAAGTTGTTCAAAACAACAACAAAACACCTCTGCATATTTTTTTTTCTAAAAAGATGGTCACATTTTATCGAGGTTAGCCAAAAACGGAGGTAATTTCGTACCCAGTTTGCCCCTTAAAAGTAACATTGCTTCCACTATGGTGGAAACTCAAATATTTCCGGGCGATAAAAGAACACGGCTGATCTCTCTGATATCATATTTTCATGGACATCAGTATTATATTGGCTATTTTTATAACTTGTGGACACAATGGAAAGTTTAATTCTTACAAGTAGCCTGTAGGTGCAATATTGCACTATTACAGTCCGTATGCGATTGATACGCTCGACTCGAAGTGCTCACTGCCGGCTCGCAGAAAAAAGGCATCAAATCTCTCACGCCAGTCCCGCCAAATTACATTTACGAACTCTCTTTCAGCCGGTGCGTCTTGATGCAATAAGCAATACGCTGCTCATCGCACCGCCAAGCCGCGCTCCGGCCTAGCTGAGTCTCGATGCGCGTTGAGTACTAGCGCCTACTGCGCGAGAAGGAACGGTTCAAGGACAATCAAAGAATATTTTTCCCCCAGCGGTAATTTCGGAGTCCCTGTCCACTTCCGAGTGAAGCAATGGGGTCCTGCCTTGGCAGGCTTGGACCCTGCCAACGAAATGCTGCAAGCGTGCTACTCTAAAAGATGATGAAGATAGTGAAATCTAGCAATTTCTTTAAATGAGAGTTTCAATTCATAAGATTTCAAGGAGATTAATGTGAGCGTTCCTGGTCCTACCTTACCTCATAAGTGTAAACGAAACAGAAGATCACAATTCATCGGTCAAATTATTACAATTTGAACTATTAAGGTAATGGTCAGCTTCAATTTTGTTTATTTTTCACCGATCATCAGATTTTCTCAGTCACCTTTATTGAATTCGATGAACACAAACAGAAAGTAGGTAACTTATTGGAATGGTATGTATCAATGTTAAATTCACGAAAGGAAATGTGCTGTTATTTGTTTATCATTTCAAGTGACCAGGTGACCATGGTGACAACGTTGACCATTAAGTGACAGCGCAGGAAGGCATCTCTAAGACAAATCTGACCTAAAACACCTCCGGGGACGATCCACACGGAGTGCCAACTGCCAATCCAACGATAATCACTAGATGAGAGAGTATCGCTGAATTCTGATGAATGTAATTTCAAAAATGCATTTAACTGTTGAGTGACTCTTTTTAGCAGTTTTGTACTAAAATATCTGATTTAAGACAGACAGATCAGTCTTGTGACAATAGCAGATATCCCGCCATGAATACAGACTTTGCACCATTTGCTACCTTTGATAGCATCCGCACCATATCAAAATAAGCACGCTGTGACTTCCATATGGCATCTTTAGTATCCTGAAATTCAAATTTTGAATATCTTCTGAAGTACTTGTACGTGAATATTTTTGGCTAAATACGCCGTTTACTCTTTAAGGAAAGAAATTTGATTAAATACGTATACTCTGAAAAAGTAAAAGAAAAACCCAACATTTTAAACTTGAATTGCGAGATTCTCCAAGGGAAATAGCATTTGAATAAAAACTAAAATCATGAAAGAGGAACTTTTGTTAGTAAGATTGAACTGGCAGATTCTATTTTTTAATCTCATGAATGAAAAACCTACCCAATTATTTGAAAACGTATACAAGGTTGGATTTCGAATTAGGATTTGGGGTTCATAATCTAAACGGCTTGAAAAATCCCTGGGACGTTTTAAAACAATACATTTTTGTGAATAATTGACCACGCTCATTACACACGTTGGCATAGTACGCCCAGCATATTGCACATTAATATGCTAAGTTTGAGGGGTTTGATCCAGCGAGTGTGTAGTGCATAACTGATGGAATAATATGCAAGGTGCGTGTGCCATAGCATCCAATTTTTTTTTTACTGATGTAAGTATAGCGGATGCCCTGGTAGCGTTCCATTCTCCTGTCGTTGTATGAAAGGCCTATCGACGGCAGCTCACAGCCTAACAATGGTCAGCCCTCATTCACCACAGCGCCGTCTAACAAAGACTCGTAGCAGCCTGCCACGCAACAATTTGCTAATAAAATATTGTCCATTTTATTTTCATATGTATATTTTTTTCCCGAGGCTGTCTGAATTGCGTTATGTCCTGTTGAGCTTGAAATACACGTGGCGAGGGAATAGGCCTATTCTGGGTCGAAATGTAATGGACTTCGAGAGAGGAAAATTCGTGGTTTCAATGAAATTACTGATTAAATTCCAAGCTTGACAATAAAAACATTAGTGTGCGTAAGAGTGTATGCACTGAAGCCGGTATTGTGTAGCGGATGAAAAAATTCTGTCCTTGACAAATATTAACAAACGAAGTATACATGATATGCAGTAAAATCATTACAGTACAGGTTTCAGTGTACAGAATACAGGTTCCCCCCAAAAAAATGACAGCAAATTTGACATGCTTGCTTTTCTGATGAAATTGCGAGAGCAAATGGCACTGCCAATGTTGATTTATGTTATGAATAAATCGCAAAACAATATATTCTGGTTTGCCAGGTTAGAAACACCATTCATTGGGTTAATTTCGGACGTGACTATAGCATCCGAAACAGGATATAGGCGTACAAAATTTAGTTCATAATATGAACTTAACTGTACAATCTGTACACTGTTGATCAAACACACGCTAGAATATTGAACTGCGAGTACAGTACAGTGGCAAAACAAAGCATTACTATTTGCCTCGATCTAGTAAAATACATGTCTTTCCAAAAATCGGTAGAATTTGGTTTTTTCAGGAAGAATTCGTTAAGATTTCTCGGCAGCGTTTATGCCGAGAGCGAAGCCCGTCTCAACCTTGACATGGCCGTGTAGGTATAAACACACTCTGCCGTCGTTAGCATATG